CCAGCGCCCAGGTTGACATCGTCGAGATCAGCGTCCTCCTGTACGGAAAATAGCAAATAGAATTCAATTAGAAGCAGCTCATTAAGTATATAACTAGATGTGTCTATTTGTCGCTGAAGAGTTATCTGAATAGTTGTTATTCCGCGTTGTTTAGTCAACGAGTTTTCGGTTAGTACAGGAAAGCCGTTTACAAAGCAATTAAATATTTACATACGTGTATCATACAATGCTTTCAGCCTTAGCAAACTAAAATATCGCATACAAAACTAAAATGAACTAAAACTACATGTTACTTGGTTTTACAGCACAACTTCGTTTTGATGAAAGTATAATTTGTTAGTTAATTTACCCAGCAGCCTAAGGAACAGAACACCAACAAGCCGTGAGCTCTTGTCGCTTGAGCGCTTTACATGGGGTTCGGTTTAAACATTTGCTCCGCTTCTCAATGTGCAATTTTGCAACTGAATATGGTACTCAATATTTCTTATAGAACGTCTAAATTTTGTTACGATGGTTGGGTTAGTTATATGTGTAATAATACATTTGGGTATTTGCATCGTGGTTATTCGCCCTGAGATCATGCGGTACTCGTGCCGGTGACATTTTCTATTTCTATACTTACAAGACGTGGATTTTGTCCCAAAGTCGGTGGCAGATCGCTGGCCTCTCGATTGCCATCAGAGCGCTGGGCATTTGTTAATATATAGCAAAACATATCACATATATATGATCGAATCGGATCGTGTCAGATCAAATCAGACATATAGTACACGTGTATATGCATATGCGATATAGTTTAGAATGAGCCGCGCGCAGGCGCAATTGTGTGTGAGGTTGTAGGTGGGTATGATGAGTCGATCGAAAGGTGGTTTTGAGAAAAAAATAAACAAAATTAGAAAAGTAAATTTGTAGTTTTGCTTTTTTCCGTCACATACATACATAAGAGTGTACATAAAAAAAAAAGGAAAATCGAATTCAAAGAATACACACACAAGAAAACAATCAATCAATCTCATTATGTACAGAAAGTGGGACGTAAAAAAAACAACGAGAAAAGCAACAGTGAGCTCTAAAATAAAAACCGAGGGAAATTCATTTGTCTTTAAATGTTTACAAAATGCATATCAAGTTGTGTTGATTTGACTTTTAGTAATCATTGATTTGAAATTCGAGTGCGTATTTATGTATTAGTGGAGACTTTTGTCTTCTTTTAAACATTTGATGATTTTCGTGGTGTCCGCATTCATAGAAAAACAAAATTTATTCAAATAAACAAAGATAAAGAAATTAAACAAATCAATGTTGAAAATGATCGAAACATTTGTGGGTGTTAGTCGTGTCGTATATACCTTTGCCCTTGTCGACAACTTAAACTACATACTTACCTCAAACTAAGCAAAAGTATAGAGAAAGTAGAGAGTAGTACTAGATAAATGCACAAAAAAAAAATTAGGAAACAAAAATGAGAGAAAAAAAATGAAAACGCTCAAGCAATTGAAAACAAAAATGAGAAATACATAAGTTAAATAAAGCATTTATTGTTTGTGTGCCGAATTAGCCATTTGCGAAATGCCAGTTAAATATATGCAAATATATGGTTTTAGCTGGAAAACTACTTTTGACTAAACAAGCGCCTCACAAAAATCATCAAAACATGTCCAGTGTAATGTATAAAATATATAACTTGGGTTCTGGGTTAAAGTGCTGTGCTGTATATATATGTACACAAGCAGTGTGTGTGTGTGTTTTTGTGTGTAAATGATTGTTTATATGTATGTATATATGATAGCATTCGTTGGGTGTGTAGTGTTCATATTGAAATCGATTGTTGTTCTTGTTTTGTTGTTGACTTTTTTTTTGGCATTAAATCAGATTTGAATGGTTAGTAGATGGGCAGGGGGGCGCAATCAATAACCAATAACCAAATCAAACATCACTCACATTCAAATGTGAATACTGGTCGTGCGACTCGTTCACCGGTGGTTTAAACTTGCCGCAACAGAAGTTGCAACAGCAGCAGCAGCAGCAGCAACAACAGCAGCCCGTCAGCAATGTGCAGCAAATAACCAAGGCCTGCAGCGAAAGAGAGAGAATCCATTAGCAAATGCCTAGCCACTGGCGAAAGGCGTTGAGCACAACACGACTCACCTTTACCGCCGGCGATGTGACCACAAAGTACGCATTCACATTCTCCTCGCCAAACTGCTCGGCAATGTAGAGACCCAGTGAACCATAATTATCATAAATATTGCGTTTCGTCTGATCGCTCAGTATCGAGTGTGCCCGATTGACCTCCTTGAACTGTGGACGGATGGAGTTAATCGAAAAACAAATACAAATATATTCAGTTCTTTTGATCTTACCTTATCGGCAGCGTCAGCGTTGTCTGGATTTTTATCTGGATGGTATTTAAGTGCAAGTTTTCTATAAGTCTTCTTGATATCATCAGCTGTTGCTGTTTTAGGAAGTCCCAAGATTTCATAGAGCGAATCGCCCGATGTGCTGAAAAAAACAAAAAATCAAAAGCAAATAATTAATTAACAATCACACAAATGAACGAAGAATACGCTTGAAAAGCGAGTCATTCACACGGATAACCTGGATAAGTTGCCACAGTGAGAACAAAATGTATTTGTGTATTAAATATATATATATTCTTTTGTGAAGAGCGAATTTGTTTATTGACTGTGGAGGCGTAGCCAATCGATTGCACAACCCAAATGCAACACAGTGCGGTTCGCTGAATATGCAATATTTGTAGTCAATTTCCAGCTGCGGTTTGTTGTTTCTTAAGCGAAGCGGCAAAGTTAATTCCGAGCCCTGCACATTCTGATAAATGATACTTCCTATAGATTCGCGGGCTACTAGCACTTGCGTCTGGCGACTGTCGACTAGCTACGATACGACGCTGATGACTAAGCCTCGACGACGGTGCCGCTGGGCATTCCACAGCAACAGTTAAGGGCAGTGCAACACGCGATAGCAGGCGGCGCATACACACAAACATACGCTTGCCTCTGTGGGTGTTGGCGTCACAAAACACACTCTGAGCACATTTGGCATTGAGTCGGGCCCCAGCTTGGGGACTGTCGGATGCGTACGCAGCTGTACACTGCCAGCCAGCCAAGATGTGAATACCCCTCCCCACCCACCACCCCTCCTTTCCAGTTCAAACTAACGGAAAATGTCATTTACATTTTGACGGCTGTTTGCTTAAGCAGCAATTTTTTACACTCGTGAAAAGCAGCAAAGTAAAAAGAGTATACTGAAGTTGCCCTGCCCATCTGTCTGTCCTTCCGTATAAAGAAAGATTTTCTCGCTGCTATTGATATTAGAGACTTAAAAAATGGTACACTCATGCCAGCCCGCGTCTGATATTATAACTCGAGGCGTGGCAAATCGAGAAAATCGAACATCTACAGTTTTAGAGACAGAGTCATCAAATTTGGAATAAATAATGCTGAAGAGGTCCCTTAAAGATCAAAGTCCAAAAGAAAACAGAGTATACCACAGTCGGTTGCACCCGAGTATTTAATTTGTATACATTTTCTGAATTGGTTGGCTGACTATTATTTATATGGATGAGCCAATTGGCCGAAGGGCGCCTAATGCAGCTTAGCCGCTTTTACGCTTAACGGCAAATATACGTGCTGATAAGGGAAACGAGTCAGCCCAAGAAAATGGCAGTGCTGAGAGATAGCAGCACTCAATGCAAAGTGGGCGGAAGGGTGGAATTGCAACACAGCCAAGGCCAAGGACACTATTTACTAAAACGAGCTGCAGCCGCATGGCCTCTGTGGAAAACGATTCAGAAGTGGGGCAAAGGAAGGGTCGGTCGAGCATTACTCATAGCACATTATAATTGTTATTGTACATACATACATGTGTATGCATATGCATGTGTGTGTGTGTAAAGAATGAGAGCACAAACTGCCAAATATTTAGCCACTAAAGCAAGCTATAAAGCTTGAAGTAGTTATAGATAACACAACATTCAATGTAGGTGTATGAGTGTGTGAGAGCACTTGTTGTTATCACAACTCATCAGAATTTGCAGCGCGCTTGTGTAATTTTTGTTGCGGCAAATACATGGTACACATGTACGTATTCATCAAATGCCGTCAATATCTCACGAATGCATCGTTTGGGAATAAATATCCGCAGAAATTAGCTGCATGCACCTACATACACATAGATACAAACCACACACATACACACAGCCATGCAGCTGCCTCTCTCTCCAAATTTTAAGGATTTGGCTTTTGTTTATCCCAAGCCTAAAGAATTTAATTCGGCCGTTTCAGCAGCTGCTGCCTTGTGCTGCTGCTGTTGTTGTTGCTGGCGCGCGGAAAATCAATTGAACGTCGACTGCGCTGCCGCTGCCATTGGCGTTGGCAATGCGCATCTGCCAGCTGCAGACGGTTGGCGTGTATGTATGTGTGCGCAGAAAAAAAAGGGAACATGAAGAAAAGCATTTGTGAAATTGTACTTACGACAGTTTTCTTTTATCCATGCCACCGCCACTCATGTTGCTTTTATTGCTGCCGCGTGTCTCTTCGATTAGATGTCACACTATTGTTAGCAATTAATAATTAACACTAGCTTTTTGCACGCACTCACACACTCGGGAAACAACACATTTGTTATATTTGTCACGAAAATTGTAAATGACTACGGCTACTACGGATATCGTTATCGATTCTGATTAGTGGTGTGTGCGTGTCCTTTTTTTGCGCACGACATGCGAAGTAATCGATAAGAAGTGTCGATGTATTAAAAATAAAACACCAAATAAATCAACATGAAAATAAAATATTACACGCAAATTGCACCTCAACAAATTCAAGGCTTACTCAATATTAATTGATAAACAGTTTTAACAAATTCATCGATATGGCATCGCAACATGAGTTGTCAACTATTAAGAAAAACAAAAAAAAATGTTAAGATATGAAAAAAAGTTTGTACTAACTCAAGTTTTTTATATACTACATGTCTGTACATATATAAATATAGATTGCACACATTTTACATTATGTGAATAAATGCATTTAAATCAGCTATCGATTTCAACACGATAGTCGCGGCAGCTTAACCCGATGCGAGTGTGACCATACATCTAGAGTCCAATTAGAATGTGCCGCTCTGTTCAGTGTGGATTTGTCGGTTGAAATTGTCGGTTGTGGTGGAGTGTGTAAGTGTTTCTCGCAGCAAATGTCACAGCCCCAAAGCATTTGCAACTGTTACACATTTTTAATTTACCAAACAAAATAAAGTCGCGCGTGCCATGTTTCTATAATAAAGCAAATTTCATTATTCGGACCGCAACTCCTAATATCTCTTTTGCATGCTCAACATCTCTAGCCTCAGACGTTCGCAAATGTTGGCGGGTCGTTTTTTAGCAACAGGTGTCTGTCAGCAAATGTGTTTTTGTTTTAGTTTCTGTCTGCGCGATCGGGGTGTAATGGAAAATTGTGTTTATAAATTGATTGAGGCACAGATTTGGCGCTGCAACAGTGCAGAAAGAAGCGACTGAATGGGGTCTGGTGGACCAGAAGAGATCAGCAGAGTATTTCAAAAATGTAGGACTAATAAATTATCGCGCCATCGCACACTCGAGTGTTTCGTTGCAAATAATGAAAACAGAATATCTAGTTTTCGCATGGGCCGTTCAATTTTATGCGTACGTTTGAGTGCGTGCAGTTTTTGTTGAAATCGCTTTGCTTTGCACACAGAACGTGACAAAATTTTAAACAACACGACAACAACAACAATGAAAACATACATAAGTATTTTTAAAAGTGTGTTAGTGTGCGGGCATGTGCATAAAATTAATAGAAAAAGTTCACAATGAAGTTAGGAGCCATGTTTTATGGCCTATTTCATACGCCGACGGAAGTTCCGTTAGATTGACTCCGTGATTCCTTACTAGCTTACACCAATGTCCACCATTCCATGTACGTGTATGCATGTGTGCATATGGTACGGTAAGTGACCACTTAATGGAACATACTTGTACTTAAGCACATGCATATATGCAAACATTTGCAATTTGCAAAGTTAAAAATGTATGACAATTGGATATCGAAAATCCAATTAGCATTCGCGCGCAAATGCAGTCGTAAGCGTTTAATCCTATACATATATGCATTTCCGATGCCCCCCTTCCACTTTCATTTGAACCCACAAGGGCCCATTGACGACTACATAAATGCACGTATAGATAATTCTTATGCAATTGCACGTAGCAACAACAACACCGCACTCGACGATAATTTAAATAAATTTCACATGCAATAAGAATATAATTGATAAGCGTCAAAAAAACAACAATAACAATGTCAACAGCTGCTGCCGAGGCAAAAACTAAAAAACATTAAAAAACAAAACGTACAAGCCGAAGCTCACAATGCAATTCAATTTTTTTTTATTCCACAATGTAAATTAATTTTACGCGAGCCCCAAAATGAGTCAGTCTCAGTTGCAGGCGATGGCGCGTGGCGGCGGGGCATGCCTGTGTGTGTACATTGCCGGTGGCAGTGACGCTGGCAGCGGCGCCAGCAGAGCAGCAGAGCATCATAAGCATGCTGCGACTGACGGCATTTCTTAAAATGTGATCACAAAATATGTGGGCAGAGAGGGTGGGCGCAGCAGTGGGAGTGCAGACCCGCTGTCAGACCCGTTTCTGCCGTTGCTGTTGTTGTTGCTGTCATTGCTGTTGTCGGCGTTGTTGTTGTTAGTGTTGGTAAGCGGCGCGACATGCAAGCGCGCGTTTTGCATTTCTGTCACTGACCACACTCAACGGCATATTGACAGCTGTGTTGTTTTTGTTGTTCTTAGCGAGCTCTGCGAATATGATGAATGGCAATGGCCGTTAGCCAACGCAACGCACGAGGCAGATGGCGTTGAAAGCGCGTGGAAAGTTTTTATTGCGCACTTTGAAGCGTCCATGATAAGTGTCAGACCTCAGACACATGTCCTTATCACGTCTTAGACATTAAATTTAAATAAATACCAATATACATATGCGTGAGTACGCAAATAAAATTAATAACGCTGATTAGCGAAATTTGGGCCAAGAGATTATGCTGATTAAGTGGTCTGACATGCTAATGCGTGTGCAGCATAAAATTGCTCGCAAATTACCCGCAAAATCACTCTCTAACAGTGAACCGGGGTCGCCCGCAGCTCCGCAGCCCAACCACCCACGGCTAGCACCTGTTATCGCACCTCTGGCATGGCCACACATGTGAATTTAATTAAATTCGTATGTAGATGGATTTTCAATCGGTCACATGCCCCCCTGTCTTATCACGGGCAAAATGCAAAACAGACACCCGGACATTACCTGCGGCTGTGTGTGTGTGTGTGTGTACGACGCTTCCACAACCATACCTGACATATGTTGCACTGCGCTTATCACTAACATTTCGTTTTACACACTCGCCACCCACAGCAGCAACAACAGGAATGCAAAAGCCTCACTCAGTGGCACAGTTTCAAGCTGGAGGCTTGGTGGCAGGTGTAAGGGCAGGTGTGAGGGCGGTTGTATAGCATGAAGCGGTGGGCTGTTCCAATGGCATCCCATAAAAAAGTTGACAACAAAATTAACATAGCCATAAAAGTAAATTCGTCAATTTACGACAAAAAATATACAAAGAAAAACAAATGCCAGAATATTCGACTACTCCATACCACAGTCAAACGAATTAACAAAATTACTATTATTAATTTGATTTTATTGTTATAGTTTTTATTATTATTACTAGAATTATCATTATTGGTATTACCAATATTATAATTTTATTATTATTATTGAGATTTGAACGGGCAACCAATTTATCTTCCGGGAACTCCTGACACCAAAATTATTCTAAAAATTTTGATATTTTATTTGTTGAAGTTAACGTTCTTTAAGGCAAATACCACATAATTGGCATACCCGTTTTGAATTTTCAACAAATACAGGGTGGCAAAAGGTACAGTCACTTAGCGGTTGAGTTAGGCGCAGGTGTCTTTTAAGACATGACACATAGACCCGCGAGTCTAGAATTGCATAGGGATGTCGCTAAATGGCTTTTATGTTCGACCAATTTTTCTTATCAGCTTTAGTTGGGTTCGACGTTCATTAACATTACAAAAAGAAAATTGGAAGAAGTCAGAAAAAAAAGAAAACGAAACAAACAGAAATTAAACGAAATGAAAATGTGGCGATATCATTTCTTGTTGGGCAAATGTGCGAGTGTGTGTAATGGTAATATTTTATGGAGAGGCCGACTAATGCCGGGGCCAAAGCCACAGGAAAACAATGGCAAAAATTACCAGGGATTCTGTGTGCTTGGCATGGAAACGCAGCGGCCTCTAATGGGCCACCAACCAGGCCTGATTGGCTTGTCGTGCTGTGTGGGTACATTTATTTTATGGGCTGTCGAGAAAACTCGAACCGAAACAGAGATTTAAGTGCCAAGCACAGAAAAATAGTCAAATTAAGATCTTAAGCTGGCTAACAACTGAGATGATGCCCGCTTAACCCGCTTCGGTTGCAGCTTTAAGTCTTTAAGAGGCGCCACCTCAAGTGCACACACAGATACGCAAGTTGTCTGTGTAATTGTGTGAGCGGAAGTTAACGAAAGTGGTTGCCGTTGCTTGTGCTGTAACTGTTAATGAAACCGCAATTAGCTGGAGGAAACTTTGTGGGGAAAACTTTTCATTTCCAGTTTTCACTTGTCGGCGGCGGGAAAAGATCATCAATCATTATCCACCAATTATTGTTTGTTATCCGAAAAGGCCTCACCCCAAAAGCAATTGGGTTTTATGATCCCACAATCATAAATATATCATAATCACTATATTTACCAAGTTTATGAAGCGTTATCAGTTGCTTCTACGAATTGGCTTTACAATAGACACACTGCTCCCTGCGCTGTCTTCCGCATGGTGACACATCCGACATCCGTGGGATAAACTCAAGAGCAGCGCAATTTAAATGCAATTTGTGACAGTTTCGCTTTAGCTTGACTTTCAACTGACACGCACGCAGTGGGCGTTAAAGGGTGGGCGGGGCTGCTGGCAAGGACATCAAGCGACTTCCCCTTATCCTTGTTGTGCCGCTGCAAGAATAAGTCAACACATAGCTGAACAAAGGAATTCCACTTTAATATATCGCAAAAATGCGCTGTAACAACAATAAGAAGACACTAGAAAATTTTCAGGACTCTTCATCCATTTTGACTAGACTTTGAGTCCATAAATCTCTGTGAATTTTAAAGCGCTCGATTGGAATATTATTCCCTTTACCCACGAATTGCTCTTTTGAATAACTTTCGGGCAAGTCATCGCAAGGGAGCATGGCAAAAAGTCTTTATCTAGGCATACTTTTAACAAAGGCAAAGCTGACAACTTTTTGAAAGATGCGAACGAAAGGGCAGGCTACAAGGGAGATGCCTGCATGGCGTATACGCAATATGTGTGTCACGTGCGTCAAACTTTGGGCTGAAGCCTTAAAATTGATTTTGAAGTAATGAATGTATCGGACGCCTGACGCCCATCGATACTGGCATCCCCCTGAACTCGTGATTAATGACCAGAGACAATGTCTTTCTCTTATTTGCTGGGTTCGCCTTTATTGTTCTGCCTTACAAGAAGCCAATGTGGTAGGCACCCCTGCCGAAAGGGGAGCTGCTCCGTGTCTCTAGAAAAAAGATGCCCGATGTTATCTCGACGCCCATCCGCTGCGAGGACCAACGGCAGTTTTGTGCACTCATGTCCTCCTGTGAGCTGCAGAGGGCGCTAACGAAGTCGTTCGCTGTTGACCACATTTCGGCGGCCAGATCTAAGGCTCGTTCATGCGAGCAGGCATCCGGGTCTGGTGTGACACTGCAGCCAGGCTGCTGTTGCCCCCCATTTGGATAGTAGTCCACGTCACCCAGCCGCGCCATGGTTCCTAGTCCATTGCCATTGGTGTGCATGACCTCGACGAGACGAGCATCTTGTGCTGAGAGCCTATGCTCGACTATGTCGCTGTCCCCGCTTGGATCCAGTGCTGTGATATGTGGCACCTGCTCGCCCAGCTGGTGCTGCACTTGCTCAGCAACGGCGCCGGACAAATGTGCACCCTCGCCAAAGCCCACCAGCTGGTGCTGCCGCAGCGGCACATCGAACTGTCGTTTCAGCAGGATTAGCAGGCTACTCACGCTGTCCACAATATCCGACTCGCTCTGCCCCTCAGCCAGAACAACGGCAAACACATTGCAAGCCTCTCGTTCCAGCAGAGCGGATGCCAGTTTCAAGTGCTCTTCGCCAACTGTTGCCGAGCTGTTGCCCGACAAACGGGGGATGTATACTCTGGAGAAGGAATACATTTCAAACGAAATTCTGGTCTAGTTTCTTCGACGACTTACACAATAGGTTCCAACGCGTAGAAGGAGGAGCGGACGAGTGATTCCACCTCCGGATCGATACGTTGTGGTGTGTTCCTATTGCGACGTGTATAAAGCAGATATCCTGGCGCAGCGGCATCTACCGAAGAACTTGAGTGTTGCCTAAGTGTGTCTATGGTCTGACTAGAATTAATTTACTCACCCGAAGCAATTGCGACGGCAGCCAGTAGAAGGCAAAAAGGCATTACCTCGATGAAACGCATTTTCCAATCAACTGAAGGCGGTCAACCCCAGGTATTCCGCGGATCGTTGATTGCTGTGCGGCAAAGAACTGATTAGATTATCGTGCCAATTGGCGATAAGCGCTCCTAATCAAAATATCTCAGCCGTGACACAATAGAAGCGACTGCGCATGAACGACACCTGGACGCTGGCTCTGTGGGCCTTCAGCATTTGACAGGCGTTTGTTTTGTTCTGATTGCGACACAAATTGTTATTCATGGGCTTGTTGTAGTTTGTCAAATTAATCAAGCCCCTCTCAGCCACCGTGCCATTCTATGCCGCGGCTGTATTTGCATTGATTGCATTTAATTGCTTGACAGTTCAACTTGAAGTCGTGTTGGATTCAAAGCACTTTACTCGTTAAAAACAGACAGCTCGATGGAATTGCTGCAATAAGAGTGCAGCTGCCCCATGCCGTTGCATCAATGTCAGCCGGAGAGGCGGCATCTGACAGCCGCGCAGAGTTTGCACATGCGGACACTCCCACACAATCCCAGCTCTTCAAGGATATTGACCCACATCTGATGGTCAAGTCTTTTAATTAGCCCCAAAGCTTGTGCCCTGCAGGCTTATGCACTCATTCATCCATCGCTCAGTGTCTATCATAATCCAGCATTTTGGGTCAGGCTAACCGGACGGCAGCTGGGAGCAGCAGACTAGAGCTTGAAGCGAAAATGTTGCCACAGCTCTCAGCGAAGCGTTAATAGCGCAGATAAATTGTTTGCGAAATTGTCTGTCAAGTACACGCGGCGTTGCCAAACGGGCATCAATTAACCAAACGCTATGGAACTAACGCCCATTTGCCACCAGCCCAAGCGCTCCTCTTGCCGGCTCAATGGGCACGTCAAGCGTTGTGAAGCTCACGCTAGATTTATGGAAAAGCGCCTGTTATTAAATGATGCCAGCCCCAGGCCATTTATAACCAGGCTTAACATTTTGCGAAAAGTGGGCGGGAAAGTGCGTGTCAGTTTTTTTTTTTATACCCTGTTAGATGTAAGTATAAATAGGTTATGCAAATCCCTATGTGCATCGATGTGGCTGCCTGAGCGATTGGAATTTCTGCAACTAAAGCAATTAATAGGTAGTTTTTATGTCCTAACTAGTCTCTCATCCTTAAAGCCAACGTTTCGTACAGCTCGAGTCCGGATTGGACTATATATATTATATAGCTTCTTTGGAAAGAAGTTCTTGCATGAATAACCTTTTATTTACCTGATTTCTGGACTGAACTTGACATTAAAGTGCTTCACTCTTTTTGTTATACATATGTAAGCAGCATCGGACTATTTAAACACATTAATATAGAGAGAATCAGTCGATAAATGAGTTTTTTATGGAATACAATTCTGTAAGAAAAAGAAACTTGACCACTTTCAACAATTAGGATGTTCACAACTCTCCTAATGTGCCTTCACAGTACTCTATCATATGCTTCTTATAGAAACAGAGTGGCTACATTTCTTTAACGTGGTTTATACCGAGAGATATATATATATATATATATATATATATACAAGTTGACTTCATAATTGTTGGGCATGACATTCCTCCTTGGTGAGGGACAAGGCCCATCTAAAGCCTCTGCTGATCTATGGGTACAGCAGACGGTTGACACGCAGCTTTACGGTGAGTCAAGACTCTATCACATTCCGACCTTAAACCACAGTCAACACGATACCTTTACCTCCATTTGGGTAGCCTCAGGTACTAGGCTATTCCGTGATACCAATTTAACAGCTCTACTTCTCAGTTCCGCTGACGACAAACAAGGAATGGGTCATCCATTTATCGACTTATTCCATTTAGGGCTTGTCTGTCAGATTAAGGTGCTCTCTTTCGACTACTCTCAGACTTACCGCTCTTGGTTTAAAGTTTTCGCATTGAATATTTTTAAGACCTTTGCCTAGAAGGATATTTCACCTGCTTTAAAGCTTCTGTCAGCAACATAACAGCATTCCGCCACGCATGGAATGCACTGATGTGGTGTGACAGGCTGCGCGACATGTCGTGACTGTGTGTGGGAGTATTCGCGTGCCTGTGTGTTAAAGTTAAAGTGGCATTGTAATAAGCCAAGTAAAAGATGTGTAGCATACCCCAGGGACGGATGCAGCCAATCAGCGTGTACGGGGATGGAAATAAAAGCCCGATCAAAGGGACGCTCAATTTGCCGCGTGTGCAAACTTTGAAGTGCCAGAAAGCGATTCAACATAATAAATTACTCTGATATCTGTGATAGCTGCAGCAAGTGCGAAGGTTGGGCGAATATCACACATACGCCGCGTAAAACCAACCTCGGCGAAAACGCAAAAAAGCCAAAAGTCATACACAGCTGCGAAAGGGCGCATGAATGGAGCAATCAGAAAAGTCTTCCAGTCGGGCAAAATCCAAACAAAGAAATTTTGTGGGCTGGGGTGACTATCATTGATTCCACATGGCATTTTTTCTATGCTGTGAAAGAGTGGAAATCATTTCAGATGTGGCGGAATTTCTTATAAAAGTTTTATTACTTTGCGCGATGTTTGCTGAAGTGTGGGCGGAGTTCGAGTTGGGACCTAATGCAGTACGAATAATATAGGGAGCCTGGAGTTAACCACGTATATCAATCAATTACTGACCAACTTCGGGTGGGACATACGATACTCTTTATAGAATGTCTGCAGGGGAATATATCAAATTATAGCTCTTAAGTATCACTCACGAGGAACGCCTTTTAATAACCAACCCCAGCAAGGCTGCTGCAAAATATGCAACACAATATGATAAAATAAGATGCAAGAACTAAAAGCCTTGATGTCTCACACAGAAACAACGCTGGGGGTAGCAGAGTGACGACGGCCATCGAGTGAATGTAATTGACAACAAGAGGACGAAGGAGCTGTTGTTACAGCTGTTAGTGCTACAAAAATGTTGCAACACGCCAAAGGACCATCTTACTACTACCAGACTGCCAGCACAGGATCTACTGCCTCCACACTACAGCTCTCCAAGTTCAATTAAATTAAACGAAGCGACAAACATCCTCAACAAACTCACTTCTCACTGCCGGCTGAAGCCAATTTCACGCAACCCTCGTGGCGCGTAATGAGTACACCCCGTATTGCCTTCCCTCCAACCAGTCTACATATTCGAGGCCATCCTGGACTGCTGTTTTTGCTGCTCTGTTTGTACCGGTTGGCTTCTTGCCATGCGGAGGTCTTTACTCTGGGCTATCTGACGGGCTCGCAACGTCGGCCGGGAAATCTGGACTATCAGCGACCAGGCATCACCATTTCGGGCGCTATCTCTCTGGCCGTGGAGCAAGTCAATGCTGGCAAATTGGGCGCCCTGGGCCACTCACTCGAGTTTGTTGTGGCCGAGACCTATGGGGACGAGGTCGCCAGCATCCGACAGACGGCAGCACTATGGACGCAGCAGGTGGCCGCTTATATTGGACCGCAAGAGACTTGCGTTCACGAGGGACGCATGGCGGCGGCCTTTAATTTGCCTATGATATCCTATGTAAGTGCCAGTCCGTAAATCAATTAACTGATAAATGTTTTAATTCCTACTTTAATCCCTGACAGTACTGTACACATCGAGATCCCTCCAATAAACTTGATTTTCCGACGTTCGCAAGAACACGACCCCCAGACACACAGATCTCCAAGTCGGTGGTGGCGCTACTCTTAGCCTTCAACTGGACTCAGGTGAGTTTCCTCTACCTGGACGATGCCAGCAGTCAGTACCAGCCCGTGGCGGAGACCATACTCAACACACTGAGTGGCGCGGGCGTCAGTGTCCGTGACATTCGCACCTGGAACACTATTTACCATCATGGATTTATGGCCAATCCGTTCGACACGCTCGTGGAAGAAACCCATGCGAATACACGTAGTAAGTAAGGTTATCTACAGACATCACTGAAAATTCTAATGCATCTATGTCGTAGTTTACCTGGTTCTCGGTCACTACTACGAACACGTGGGTCTGATGGTTAGCCTACAGCAGAAAGGACTTCTTTCCCGTGGCGATTATTTCGTGGTGGGCATTGACATTGAGCAGTATGAGCCGGCCAAGCCAGAAAAGTATCTCCGAGGCGTGCTGATGGAGAAGGTGGAACCTCTGGCGGCGCAAGCGTTTCAGTCATATCTTGGCATAGTACCCACTGCGCCCGTTTCCTTCGCCACATTCGCCAATGAGGTGAGCTCATGGGACAGGCATTTTGCCTGCTGATTGATGCGATGCATCCGATTCAGTAAATGATGTCGTTTCCTTACACACACACAATAACCAATTGTTTGCGTTCTCTGTTTTGTCCTTGGTGTAGGTTAACAAATACATGGAACGACCGCCATTCAATTTTCCCAATCCACTGGGTCTTTTCGGTGGCACGAAGCAGGTTAGTCCGAAGCTCTCCCATTCGGCTCGATTCCCATTCACATGTTTTTCCTTTTCATTCGTTCGAAGATAAGCGCTGAAGCAGCCTATCTCTATGATGCCGTGCATCTCTATGCCAATGCCTTGTTGTCCGTCCTGAAGGCAGGAGGAAGGCCCAGGAACGGCAGCCTCATTGTGGCGGCTATCAAGGGCTCGCGCTATCTGAGCGCCATGGGGTGAGTATCCTAGGCACACGTAAGAATCTGCTCTGATGCTCAACACACACGACGTATAGTTATCATGTGTACATTGACGAAAATGGAGACGCCGCTGGCAACTATACAGTATTAGCGAGAGGAACGATCCGTAACAGTCGCAACCAGACGGTTTTGGGTCTACTGCCCGCAGGCACCTTCAGCCACAAGAGCACCAACAGCAGCAGCGAGGCCTTGCCGGTAAGTAATCCTTCTGTGTGCCCTGCCACCTTTTTTATGAAAGCTACTCTTGCATTTTTACGCTTGCCCTTCAGGTTCAGGTAAGGGTTTTTATTATAGCATGCGCACACATAACCGCTTGTCCTTTTTCTGTACTCATAATCCTATCTCTATCCCCAATGTAGGATCTGAATTTGTATCGCAACATCGACTGGATAGGCGGGGCGCGTCCTGCGGCTGCTCCACGTTGCGGTTTTGGTGGCGAGAAGTGCGTCAGTAAGTTAATTACGCTTCGTAACTTCCTTCACTAGCCCTCATTTAAATAACCGCATTAATTTAACTTTAGATTATACTGGCGAAATATCTGCAGGCATTGCTGGGGGTGCGCTCATACTGCTAGGTGTTGTTTCGCTTGTTCTCTATCGCAACTGGCGCTACGAACAGGAGCTGGACAGCCTCCTATGGAAGATTGACTTTCGCGAAGTTCAGATCCACGACAACGAGCGGGAGCAACAGAGCCAAAAACAAACCCGAGTGAGTCACACAAATTTGTCTTTCGAAATTATTGCATCTCGCATGCTACCCCAAAACCCTGACAGTCAAATTAATGATGCTGACAGTCAAAGAGATTGGCTGTGTTTGAGTGCATTCGGCTATTTAAAGGGTTATTACCGACAACAAAGTGCCTTTTATGTGGGGCGTATTTCCGACAACATTGTGTGGATTGTAGAAGGTTCAGACTGAAGTGAATGAGCATAAGAAATCCTGATCCTTTGGATTTCATTTATATATACATTTTTTAACTATATTCGATGCGACTCTCCGTCTAAGCGTCTATCTTGCCATTGCATGTTTGACAGCATTTCATAAATCAATTGCCGCGTCGTCTTCCTTCGCAGTCAACCCATCCTCTAATCCGCACCAGCCAGGTTAGTCTGAGCTCCAATCCTGATGCAGACTTTCGTTACACGACAATCTTCACGCCGATCGGACTGTATAAGGGTCAACTCTATTCCATCAAGAAGGTGCGCAAGAAGAGCGTGGATATCACAAGGGAGATGAAGAAGGAGCTGAAGCTGGTAAGCAATTGCAATCTTTGGATTCCGTCAGATCTAACTTCAACTCACAACTAGCTGAGGGACGCCCGTCACGACAACATATGCGCATTTATCGGTGCCTGCACGGAACCACCCAACATCTGCATCATCAGCGAGTATTGCACTCGCGGCAGCCTTAAGGTTGGTGGATCTCTCTGCCAGAGCGAACGCCAAGACTAACCACCCTTAATTTTGTAGGACATACTTGAGAATGAGGATGTCAAGCTGGACAACATGTTCATTGCCTCCATGGTGGCGGACATTATACGCGTGAGTGCTGCTGTGTAACATTATACTAATGGCATCCCCCTCCCGTTCATGCAACGAGTATGTGTTTGTCTGACCCCAAACTTCTGGCTTCCGCAGGGCGTCATTTACTTACACGAGTCGCCCATCCGATTCCATGGCTCGCTGTGCACATCCAATTGCCTGGTGGACTCGCGTTGGGTGGTTAAGTTGACGGACTTTGGCTTGTTTGCTTTCAAGCAGGGCATCGAGGACAACTCCACGGACATGCAGCATATGTCGGCCAAGTGTCTCAGTGAGTTCCTCCGTGGATTTATACGATGTGATAGTTACGTAGTTTCTTCTAGAGCTTCTCTACCGAGCCCCAGAGCTTTTGCGGCAGGGTCCCTCCTCGATGGTGATGGGCACACAGCGCGGAGATGCCTACTCGTTTGCCATAATACTTTACGAAATGCATGTACGCCGTGGCCCCTTTGGGGAGACAGGTCTGACATCAATGCAGTGCCTGCAGAAGGTTATGCAGCCACAGGATCAAGTCCATCCCTATCGACCCTCGCTGCAGCCACTCGAGACCGCCTTCGATTGCGTCAGCGAGTGTCTGCGTGAGTGCTGGGCCGAACGTCCCGAAGATCGACCTGAGTTCAAGGCAATACGCGCCAAGCTAAGGCCGCTGCGCAAGGGAATGAGACCTAACATCTTCGACAACATGATGGCCATGATGGAAAAGTATGCCAACAACTTGGAGGCCCTCGTGGACGATCGCACGGACCAGCTGCAGGAGGAAAAGAAGAAGACTGACGCCCTGCTGCATGAGATGCTGCCGCGCTGCGTTGCCGACCAGCTAAAGAAGGGCCATAAAGTGGACCCCGAGCACTACGAACAAGTCACCATATATTTCAGCGATATTGTCGGTTTCACGGCCATGTCTGCGGAGAGCTCGCCCCTCCAAGTGGTGGACTTCCTTAATGATCTCTACACCTGTTTCGATTCTATCATAGGCCATTACGATGTCTACAAAGTGAGTTTCAAGCTAAGCGACTAATAAGGAATGTACTATCACTTGACAAATGTCTTTTGGCAACAGGTTGAGACCATTGGCGATGCCTACATGGTCGTATCTGGTCTGCCCCTGCGCAACGGAGATCTGCACGCCGCGGAGATTGCCACAATGTCACTGCACCTGCTCAGCGCCGTCTCCGAGTTTAAGATTCGCCATCGACCCACCAATCGGCTATTGCTTCGCATCGGCATCCACTCAGGTCCCGTTTGCGCGGGCGTCGTGGGACTAAAGATGCCGCGTTACTGTCTGTTTGGAGATACGGTCAACACGGCGTCGCGCATGGAGTCTAGCGGAGTGCCGCTCAAAATTCACTGCAGCTGGCAGTGCCGGCAGCTGCTGGAACGCCTGGGTGGCTATCAATGCCAAGAACGAGGCATGATCTCGATGAAGGGTAAGGGAGAGCAGCGCACCTACTGGCTAATGGGCGAGGATGATGAGGCACGTGTGCGTCGCACCTATGAGCGCTCCCAACGGCGCGGGTCGCGGGCCCTTAACAAGTTCATCCAGGGCACCATCAAGCAGGCCCAGGAGCAGGCTAACGACTGTGGAATACGCTCCTCGCTGAAGCAAAAGAACCTGCCGCGAAACTCACTGACTCGATCCTCCAGTCTTGAGTCGCCCAAGAAGCTGCGCTTCGCAGCTGGAAACATGCTGGAGCACCACCGATATCACAGGTTTGCCAATTGGGCTAGATTGTGCCTGAGCAATTATAACCTTGTCGTTTTCAGTGACGAGGCCTTGCTGGAGGTGGACTCCTACACGGGCCTACGTCGTTCCTCCGGTGGCTCGACACACTCCCGCTACGAGGAGTCAACTCTATCCTGCCAAAGCATCGAACAGCTCGATCCGCAGCAGCAAAAGCGGCGGCCGTTCTCCTATCCGACGGTCAACACACCGTTGCTGATGAATCACGTTGAAGTCTAATTGCAATCGAAGGAATCACATTAGTAGAATATGTTGTCAGTATCTTTAGCCAAGTATTATTGTTGTGGTGTTCAGCTCTTGTCAGTTGCTTTAAGTGTTGTGCGTGGGTGCATAATACCCCCCTCTTAATCATATGCGTGCAAACAAAGTTCGTCCTAGGCCTATTTGGTGGATCCGCAGACGGAATTCGAGGTATGCTTTATATGTGCAATTCGTAGTATCAGCATATTGTGAGAGTGATTACAAATCTAGTCGTTGTATACAAAATGAATACGCTAGCTTAGACATTAGCTTAATCTTAATTTTAAAACAATATAAGTAATCATATGATCAACATGATGTCTGTAAACCCGAACAAAAAATTGTTGGTTGCCGCTTTTGGCTCAAACCTTGTCCCATTATTATTTTATTAACCCTGAACTCATCTTCAATGGTTTTGTGCAATTGTATGTAACAGGGAGAAGGAAGCATCTCTGATCCCATTAAATATATATGTACATTTAAAAGCCGATTCGACCTGGCTATGTCCGTTTGTCTGTCCGTCTGTCCGTCCGTCTGTCCGTCCGTCCGTCTGACCGTCCGTCTGTCTGTATGAGCGCATCGATTCCAGAACCTAGTGCCCGTGCAGAACGGGTTTGTTGTCCGATAATCAATAACTTGTCCTGTTTCCAAGCAATCGATAAAAATTGATTTCGAGATCCTGTTGTTTGAGTAAATTACCTAGGATTTAATCACCAAATTTGTAGCTTCTAGAATTGTATATACTCGTAGCTCGGGTTACATTTGGTAGAAGAAGGTTCAGGGTATCTCCTAGTCGGGCACTCCCGACTAGAGCACTCTTACTTGTTTTTATTTTAAGCTGTATAAATTATTATTTGTTGAAATATTTAATACTAGCGGGTTACCCCGACCTTGACCGTGGTACGTATAAAATAAATAAATAAAGAGCCAAACCTCGTGGAAATCAGATGATATTTGACCGAGTTATCGGTGTGGGAAATTTTGACCTATGTCTATATAGAATATTTCAGGGTATCATTATTACATGAATTTTGACCAAAAATAAGGTTCCCAGATTTAGATGCCAGATTGATCGAGAGGCCAAAACATGAACAAAGAGCCAAACAAGTTATGGGTGCGGGCAATTTTGACCTATGTCTATAGAGGATGTTTGAGGGTACCATTATTACATGAATTTTGACCAAAAATAAGGTTCCCAGATTTAGATGCCAGATTGATCGAGAGGCCAAAACATGAACAAAGAGCCAAACCTCGTGGAAATTGGATTAGATTTGACCAAGTTATGGGTGTGGGTAATTTTGACCTATGTCTATTAAGGATATTTGAGGGTACCATTATTACATAATTTCGACCAAAAATAAGGTTCCCAGATTTAGATGCCAGATTGATCGAGAGGCCAAAGCATGAACAAAGAGCCAAACCTCGTGGAAATTGGATGAGATTGGACCAAGTTATAGCTGTGGGCAATTTTGACCTATGTTTATATAGGATATTTGAGGGTACCATAATTACATGAATCTTGACCAAAAATAGGGGTTCCCAGATTTAGATGCCAGATTGATCGAGAGGCCAAAACATGAACAAAGAGCCAAACAAGTTATGGGTGCGGGCAATTTTGACCTATGTCTATAGAGGATGTTTGAGGGTACCATTATTACATGAATTTTGACCAAAAATAAGGTTCCCATATTTAGATGCCAGATTGATCGAGAGGCCAAAACATGAACAAAGAGCCAAACCTCGTGGAAATTGGATGAGATTTGACCAAGTTATGGGTGTGGGCAATTTTGACCTATGTCTATAGAGGGTATTTGAGGGTACCATTATTACATGAATTTTGACCAAAAATAAGGCTCCCAGATTAAGATGCCAAATTGATCGAGAGGCCAAAACATGAACAAAGAGCCAAACCTCGGGAAAATTGGATTAGATTTGACCAAGTTATGGGTGTGGGCAATTTTGAACTATGTCTATTTGATATTTGAGGGTACTATGGATATTTGAGGGTACCATTATAACATGAATTTTGACCAAGAAAAATGTTGTTTCTGAAATGTTTGGTATATTCTGAATATAATATATATATATATTCGGAATATATTAAACATAAGGCTTGCCTCAGATTAGGGTTGGACTGTTTTTGGTCTACTTATCCGATTTTCAATCGCCTTTTCTAAAATAAGATTTGGAGTTCCGGCTTGAAGTATTGGAAAAATACGGCTTGTGTGGTTTTTTTAATTGCGATTTTATTTCAAATTTTGTTGTGGTCTTGAAGACACGTTCGCTATATATATATATTATATATTTTTATAATTTTAATTTTCAAACTTAACGTGTTTTCTTTATTGTTATATTTGAGTTTAAAACCAATTTGTGCATTTCATTTGGGGCCTTTATTTGTGGGCCCTTATTCTCCTTATTCTCTCTAAACTCTTGCGAAAGCCAGCTTGCAAAAATTTCGAATTGCTTGTATATAAGTACGTATTATATAATCTATAATCTCTAATAGGGAATTTCAATTTGATTGCTTTTGTTTGAACTTAGTATTGCTAGATATATGTATGTATTTATATGTATTTGTGTTTCGTTAATTTATATTTTTGTTAATTTGATAAGCCACAAGCTTTAAAGCGCACTTCAGTGCATAACATGAAGTTACAACATTTCAAAAATCCTTCTCTTCTTCTTCTTATATATATATATATGTATCTAAACCATTTGTATGCGTATGCGTGTGCTTTTTATTGGTGGTCTGTTAATAAACTTTGTTTATACAATTCTACACAATTCAACAAGTTACTAAATAACAATCTCACATACAATTCATTCTAGGCATGATTGTATGTATTGTATATAATGCGTTTACTTTGTATTTTGGTTTTCTCTATCAAAATGGTTGCAACAACAAATCTACTCAAAATATGCATTTATAATGTCTGTCATATATAATATAATATAATATATCCCATTGTTTATATAAACAATGTAGTTCTCGATTATTGTACGACTGCCAGAAGCATTTGTCGGCGGCTCGATTCGGTACAAAACTAACAAATGGAGCAGTGCATTCAGTTTTTCTTTCTTCGGGCACCAATAACAAATTTCATTTATAAATATAAATACATATACACGTAAATTCGCACTATATATATGTATATATCTGTAAATATATATATATATATATATGTATATGTCAGTATTTGTTAAATGCGTCTCTGAAAAAATAGTATGTCAACAATTTTATAAATATTTCAACTTGTCTCTTTTCGAGTTTTGATTAATTCGCTTTGCATCCAATTGACGAATGCTCAATTCAAAGCTTAAGCCAGCGATTTTTTAGGTTTCCAATAGCATTAAGTTTAGAAAGTAACTAGCGATTCATGGACGATAGAATTATCCTACATAGTTATATATATATAGTGACTATTTAGAAAGTGAACTCTTTGGCTCCTTTCGATTGCCTTTCATCAGAATGATGGGTAAATCTGGTACGAAACTCCCATTCTAGTTGCTTCTCCTTGAATGGACACACTGAAGGATCCTCAGCGCTTGATTACAGTTTGTGGCATAATTTTCTTATTATTTTCCAAGTGACAAATCGTCTTTAGGGTAACATCCAATAGTTAAGATTGCTCTTCAAATCGTATAGGAAAATCTACATGCTGCAGGCTTGCAGTTGTCTTCTTCTGTCCTTTGTATACCCTATTTTTCCAAGTTGATGCCGAAAGTCTAGTTATAGCCAAAACATAAACGCTATATTCAAGTTAAGCCATCCAAAGTGTTCCAATCGATGAAGGTGTATAGGGCACAGACACATTCCAGAGGCTTGTGCTTGTCCTGCTGTATAAAAATAGTCGTCGACTCGATTGCGATGCGGTCAGAACTTCATCTGGGCTTTTTCGCCAGGCTGGTCGATCTGTTGGGATGAAAGAGAACTCGAATGAGTCGATTATGCCAGCATGAGCTATCGCTCACCCACCTTCTGATACCGTGCCGTGGGCTGGAAGGAGGTGTGTGGCATGGTGTAGGCGGCGCCGAACCGCCCGACGAGCCACGCGACGATGTGATCGACAAAGTTGAGGCACGCGGTGCCGAGCAGCCCAAGTAGATGGCCGATCCCTTGTCAATCTCGCGCAGATCGACCCGCGATCCGTGGACAGATGAGGGCACCGAACCTAGCAACAATTCAAACACGACCTTAGCTCGGCTCGTCAAGGTGCAAGTGGAAACATTTACCCGTATAGGCGTGTAGGCCCGCCGGACTGCTGCGGGGTCGCACGCCGAAACCGCTTACGGTGCTGGCGCTGCGCTGCAGCTGTGCGGCTCCATTCCCCACGTTGTCCGCGGCTGGCGCCTCCTTCTGGCTTACAGCTGTGCTGCCCTGGCCCGTTCCACTCATAGAGTTAACTCTGCCGCCAGACTTGTAGCTGTAGCGTGAGGAAGAGCGTTGCAGTTGAAGCTGTTGCTGCTGCTGGCGCTGTTCCCTGCGTGCATCCTCGATGGCTGCCGCATACTCTGCTGCCTCGCTGGAGGTAGTGGGGGCCAGAGTCGAGGCTTGCTGCTGGTAGGCAATCTCGTCCTCGGGAATACGCTCGTTACCTACCGAACGGCGCTGTAGAGGCGAGTTCTTGGGCGATGTAGGGCAGGACTGGGCAGCAGCAACAACGCCTGCGGCAGCGCTGCTGACGCCTAAAGTACTTGAGGATGAGTGCGTGTTGGCATTGGAGGACTGGGCGCGTGTCCTGGACTGTGTGGTGGAGGCGGTCGACGGCCGACGTCGGAACAGTCCTTTGGTGGGGTCCATGTTGCAGACGCCTAATGGAAACGAACAAGCACAGAATGGGGCAAAGTTTTAGTGACAAAAGCCGGTCAAACATTTTATTAGTCTAGATTTTAAAAAAAATTATATCGAATATTAGCGCTTGGCCTCCGGTCTTCTGGGCGTCCGCTTGACTGGAGTTTGGCGGGGCGTCTGACCGCCGGCGACGGCGGCTTTCTGCTTGGCGGCTCGCTGCTCTTCCTCGAATTTCTGTGCCAATCTTTTCATGTGAGCCGTGTAGGGGCCGTGCCGCTCATCTTCCTCAGCGTTCTCGTCCAGGTTGTTGACAAAGCGGCCAACGTCTGTGTCCGCATTGTAGTAGATCACATTGGGCATAAGCTCTTCGCCGGAGCTGCTGCTGGATATGCCGTTCGAGTCGTCATGATCGGTTTCGAGGTCTGTCTCGAGCTCCGACTCAATGTCGGACACCGAGATTTCTTCACTGCCCAGCTGCTCAAATGTTCTGTTCTTCCACTTGTCAACGATGAACCTAAGAGTGTAGGCAACATTTTGCCGGACCGGGGAATTGCCCGAGCCCGAAGCCTCACGGCCGGTAATGGAGAAGCCGCCAATTGCGTAAGTGGGTATGCTCGCACCTGTGGGACACTTTTCGCCGCGAGAGCAATTCCCCTCGCATATGTCTCTATTCTGCAACAGCTCCTGATAGCTATCCAGCGCTAGTCCACACTTGATCCGATCAAGCTGCTCCAGCGCCGACGACGGGAAACGCTCTCTCAGCCGCCGACGCTCATCGGCCAGTTTATATTGCTCGAACTCCAGCAGCTGGTTTTGAAAGCCCGTGTTGGGATTGGCCACTGCGCGACCAGCGCGCACCACCTTCAACGCCTCCTTCCAGTTCAGATGCGTAGCCGTCATAATATAGGCCACGGCGACGGTCACCGAGCGGGACATCCCAGCCAGACAGTGGATCAGCACGTTGCCCTCGCGCAGCCGGGCTGCGTGAATGAAGTCGTTGCACACGGAAAAGTATTGCGACAAATTCTGATCCGGCGTATCCGAGGCCATAACGCACAGATAGTGCTTGTCCTGAAAGTGGACCATTAGTTAGTCAGATACAAATCAGTTGGCTCTAGCTGGGGCAGGTGCGTACCGGCAGCAGACGCCTTGGACTGTCATGTATGGCTATAATGTGAGAGATTTTGAACTTCTCCAGCTGCTGATAATCTTTGGAGTCGCGGTAATTGCCCACATATAGTCCCGGCAAGACCTGCCAAACAAAAGGAGCACGTTTAATAAAACAGAATAAACGAATTAGCGAAGAAATCGACTGTTTACATTTCCCATATGCCAATTCATCACGTTAATTCTGGTAAAAACAAAAAGCCGATTGAAGGCTTTATGTTTTATATACACGATTGGATTTGTTTATCTGAAAATACAAAAGCCTGTTTGTTGTCTATTTGTTGTTGCTACAGGCAACTGGCCTTGACAACTAACTCTCAGGGTCAACCCTTCATGCACACTATGTTAAAGCAATAAAGAGTTAGCTCTACTCGGGAGGGCCCGCATTGAGATACCCTGAACTCACCGTCGAACTGACGATGCAAATTCCTTCTACACACGCACACACGTGCTTCCCAGTATAGACGATAAGGTGCTTAGAGTGCAATTGACCCAGGTATGAAGAATCATAGGATTCGCAGACGACCCGAGCGATGGACAATCCTGCCTCAATGAACGTCATCCGAAGATCGGAAAGAGCAGCATCAATCGGAACTTGACAGGAGAAGCACGACAAACAAAGAGAGAGGGAAAAACAAACTAATTCCCAATCTGAAGCAAAGAATTCGGAGATGGAGAGGAGAAATGAACTGCCACCTAATGCAGTTTTTTACTGGACACGGCGGCTACAGTAAGTAGCTTCATAGGTTCAGACGGCCCAAATCGGGACGAAGATCCGGAACCCAGTGCACAAGGTACAGAGACGCTATTGAATTTGTGCCTCCACCTGAGGGCCTGATGAAGTATATGTTGGAAGGACAGGATAAGTGGAGAGATCTGAGCCAACTCATCATAGGCACCCAGAGAGAGACTGTCTAAAATAGGCAACCCATCCTCGCGTAGTAATACCTTGCGTTAATTCCACTTCCAACAAAAAATTAGTATGGGAAATGCGTTCTTGGTTAATTTGGGTGTTATTTGGACGATCTTTATGAAATTTTGAGGACTTAAATGTGGCATATAAAAGTGTCTGTATACCAAAGCCCTGGACTATACCTTTTAAAATGAAGAGCCATTCAGCTATCGTTCATTTTAAATAAACTTGGCTTAGTTTAAGATTTCTCTAATCTATAGCACTTTTAATCTCTGAAATCGACGCATTCATACATACGGACAAACGGACAGACAGACAGACATGATTAGATCAACTCGACTGTTGATGCTGACCAAGATTATATATATATATATATATATACTTTTTAGCCATTTTCATCATGTTCAGAGTATAGAAAAATTGATATTTATAAAAAGCAGCAGCAATCCAACCTTTTGATATTATGTATTGTAAAATGAAATGAAATTGGCATTGGGTTTTTATTATTACAATGACATTTCTGTCAATTTTCTCGATTTGAGTTTCGTTCCGTTCCGTTCAGCTTGGCAGCATGCATAACTCTTACCTTGTTCATACCATTCCCCATGTTTCCTCATTTAAATGTGGCAGTCGACCTCCTTCAATTGTCAAAGCCTGAAAGTAGAATAATAATACAACAAAAATAATAGAAATCGAGAGAATCCTTTATTTGACAAGTTCAGGGCGAATTCCATGTGAAGGCTAATGCGGAGGCGACAAGCACGACGATTGCATATATTGTTGTGGCTGCCCCTGATGAAAGTGCAAGTGGCAGCTGTTGCGACTGTCATGGCCTCATCGCTGCCAACAAGTACCCTCACCTGCAGAACAAGCTGAAGCAGTCCAAGGAGCAGCCGAGCCGTAGAGCCGGGTCTCCTCCACGGATAGACAAACGTGGCCTAGACGTAGACAATGGCAAAAGCATCGCATCCGTTGCGGAAGTAAACAATCCTTGACGTCGCTGCCTTTGTTGCAACTCATTAGTGGGTTAGGCACACTGTCAGACAGACAGTCAGACAGACAGACAGGCAGGCAGACGGACAGCCAAACCGGGGCACATGGTACAAGAAGCGGCATAGTATTGTTGGGGCATGCAGCTCATTACGATTGGAACTGAATGCCAAAGTTCATATTTGGCAACGGAGCATTTCGTGATGCGCCCTGTTCGTGTGGCCCCCAGAAGTAGGCAAGGCCTAGATTATGCCCCGTTTGCAACAGTTGGTTGCGCCTCACTTGCCCCCGTCTGCCATTTGGGCACGAAAACAAAAGCTTGCTCATCACAAAGTCAAGACGCCGCTTGGCCTGGTAAGCCTTGACTTATGCAACTCAGCGGAGGCTCTGCTCACAATGCATGAGGCTGCCTACGACCTGCTCGAGTGCCTGTCCCTGAACATTTACTTTTAGAATTAACCAAATTTACATAATTTTCAAGTTGGAGCAATGAGCAAAAGTGGCGCTTGCCTGAATTTCATAACAACTGTCACCTGACCGCAGACTGACAAAAAGATGGCAACAAGATAAAGCACGTTTGGCACACGTTACTTGTCGTAACAGCTGCCTTTTCGGCAAAGTAAGCCAACGCCCCCGGCTCCAGCCCCAACCAGGCAGAAGGCCGCAGTGCAAAAATTACTAAAATTATCGCAGTCAACTCTTGAGCAGGTGCCATCGCAGGTAATTGATCTGACAAGTGGCTGGTTAGTGCCTTTGCGGCATCGCCAACATGAATTTCAAGAGAGCGCCTCAAACACTATCTAAAAATAGAGAACCCCCCCCCCCTGCGCCCTGTGGGAGGTATCCAAGCATTGGGCATTAGGCATGCCAAGCGACACTCAATTCAATTGATTTCTGGATGTGTGTGTGCTTTTGAGCTAGCTGTCCACACAGCTTACGTATTGGCTCATCCACTGGTCAAATAGTTTTAGGAGCCTCACATTTCGACAATTTCACAGCGCATTTACCCAAAGAGTTTGACAAGCACTGAATCCATTTAAAAGGGGGGATAAGGGGTAGACCTAGCCGTGTCTGTCCGTCCGTTCCTGAGTATGAAGCCGTGGATCGGATATGGAATAATAAGATCTAGTAACTTAATATTTGTCAGTTATATATTCTCGCATATCTTACGCCGAATAGGTTTTTCTTTTCATTCTTCAAGATTTTTTGTTTCCCTTAAAGTTTCTTGGCATTCCGTTCATACAGATTCATAATTTTGTACTATTTCTAAATACTCTTTCCCGTTCGCACCAATGTTTAGCTAGACCCTTGTGCTTTGCTTTATATGCACAGCTTGATGACATATTTATGCCCTGAAGATTTGTACTGAAGCTATTAAATAATGCATTTACCATAGTGTCAAGCTGGAGGGTAAAGAATCACAACTATATGCAGATGCAGTTGGCTGTTGTTCCTTGTCAACTTTCTAAACTATTGCGACAGCAAGAAACGCAAGAAATCGAGTAAATTTATACGGTTAATATTTTATAATATCATGCGACACCTCCATCGTTGATATTTGCATAGTCTTCCCTTTAATTTTCTTGCTCTCCAAGGAATTAAACAAATGACTTGCATGTACCCTCTTTCATTCCCACCACACTCCGTCCCCTTTATATGTTGATCAATTCGTGTCTTTTTTAGCACATTTAACAAAATCAATAATAGCAACTGGTTCGGTTGTTTGCCAAAACGGAGACCATTAAAAAAAAGAGCATCGTATACCTTTAGGCGCAGCGGAAACACCATTCAAATTTATGGCCAGTTTTAATTTAAGAGAAAAACTTTGGCACCATGTTTGCCATATTAACACGGAAATGCTATTTCGGCCGCCGGACTGTCAGCCCTACTTCCACCTAGCAGTGCTTCGGGCAGCCAAATGTAGATTTTTTCATTTTTTTTGGATTTCCTGCACCCACTGAAAATGGAAAAAAGGGGTATAATGTAGTTGGGCCAAAAGATTCTATCTATATGTAAAAGAGAATGGTCCCACTATCGAAATTAATTAACTTTTTATATGAAGAACAATAGAGATCTAGTCGGAGCCGCTCGACTAGCAATTAATCCTACATCTGTTTACATATACTTTACTCGAACCTACATGTCAAATTTGACTCTAGCTTTTAAAGCATAAGGATTTCGACATCGATTTTTATCGATTGCTTGGGAAAAAGACAAGTTATCAATAATCGCACAGCGACATACAGATTTTGAAAATGATCACAAAGCCGTGGATCCAATTTAAATGTGTTAAAGGAAGCACAGCTGCTGCTTAACGCGAGAATGCAGATAATTAAATAGTTCTGAGCCAAGCACAGGGTATTTCCTAGTCAGGTTTCTGTTTGCCACAAGTCAGCTGCCAATTTTTTCACTTTACCAATTGGCAAGGCCTTTTGATCGAAATGAATTCATTTCCAGGCTCTTTTTATCACCTACACGAGATGTTAGATACAGAGAAATTAGATACGAATGGAGCATATTATGCAACAGATATCCTAGAGCGTACAATTCGAGCTATAAAAAAGTTGGTAGCTGTAAAGCACGAGCAATAGTTACGTCAGATATTGGCCAATATCCGAAAATCGTAGCTAATCTCACCTATATTCCGAAATATTTATGCAACTAATTGAAAGAGAAGCCCCATTGGAACTTATCTATTAACCGAATTCCTCTAAAAGTGAATGAATTCTTAAATCAAAATGTGACAAAGTATATTCCTTCTGTTTCATGCCAGATCGGGCTTATTTTGTGCTCCTGACGGCACGGACCTGTCAATTGAGATCCGCACCCAACTCTACTCTGAACCTATATATAGGGTATAATAGTTTTCAGTTAATTTATAAAACAGGCAGAAAGAAGCAGCTCCGTCCTCTAGAGTACGTATATTCTTGATCAGAACAATAAGCTCAATCGATCTCCTTTCACTGGGAGTCTATCTATCCACCCGCACAGCCAGTTCGTATGCTTGTAATGGCACCTCGCCCTGGATGCAGGGTATCACCTAGTTCGGCACTTCCGCCTTATTTTATACTGCGACAATCGAAATAAATATTATCGTTGCTTTTATTGTTATTATCAAATAGTTATTTTCTTCAATTGTTGCTTTTATTATTTCGGTTATACGTTTCTAATGTTTAGCCGTGTAATTCAATGTTGACCGAATGAGAAACCAGTTGCCATAAATTAGCCGAGCTTCTGGCCTTGCCGCCCGGTCAATAATTGCAAAAACAAGGACCAGCCATGTCGCCCGTGGCGTGTCGCGAGGTTATGTCTCCGACTCCGTCATGGATAGAACTACTCGACACAGTCCGAGCCCAACGGGCAGTCAATTATACAGCTTAGACATTTAACATTAGCAATAAAATAAATACATGCAAGCGGCACGAGCTGGCACACAAAAAGCGGGTCTGACTCTGGTGCGATTTATTGGGCTGGCTTAGGATTACCCCTGGTTGGGGCCTTTGCCTAGGGACACATGGGGCCTACGGAACTGCGTGTGTGACTCAGCCCCGAATAGGGTATTTCAATTGTTTGCCCAAAGCTCAACGAACTGTGCCAAAGTGTTGTAATAAATGTCAGCCCCGGCGGCCTGTCAACCTTAAGAAAACAACCAGAAGAAGCCAACATACATAATCGGAAAAATGCCCACACGCACACACACTTAGTAAGATGAATGCGACCGATTAAGCTTTGTTTTCTTTTATTTCCCAGCTAGCTGGCAGTTTTAGACAAGCTCAAGGGCCTGCCAATGAACGAGCCAAGAACTAACCAGCTAAAAACCCAAAGGAAACAAAATACTTTTTGGGCTAAACCTAGATGTGGGTACGGCCAACAGCGCCGCTTTGTCTGAGGCTAGGCAAATGTCAAGATAAGTCAATGGACTGACGCAGGATAAACAACTGTGAGTGCTCGACTAGGAGATGCCCTGTAGACAGCTATGAAGTGTCTTGATCTGAGCTGGATAAGAGAGCCTATAAACCAAAGTTTGTGTTACTTTGAATATCGATATTTATCGATTTTGGAGAAAGGGAGATGTGGTGATATACAAGCAGCTTATGGATATACAAGAACTTATATTATAAATTTGTTGACATATTATGTTGATGGAGGTGGAGAAGAATCTGTATGGGCTCTTCTGCCAGCTACAAAACCAGGATACCTTCTTATACCCACTTTATTTGTACAGGGTACAGGGTATAAAAAGTGTAAGCCGCCAAGCCGGCAGCCGGCATCCTGCACACGCCGCCATAAAATAGTTTATTAGCATACAAGCGAACGGCAATCAGACGCTGGAAAGTGGACAAAGTGGGGGAACATGTAGAAACTGCTGATTTCATGTGCTTTTGATCGGTCCAATTGCTTTCGGAGGATTTATTACAATGCCAACGGCGTGCGGTCAAAGTTATGTAAACAATCGTGAATCCTGAACAAACACAAAAAATGGCGGGCAAAGCAATCTTAAATGCTGACCAGCAGCTGCCCGGGTTAGAGAATGTGGTCCACAGATCCTGGTCAAGCCACATGTCAGTCCATGTTGGATTTTGAGTTTGCGTTCGGCTATACGCAGCTCTGGGCAAATGCCGGCAGTTAATTAACCACACGCTTCTGCATTCTGTCCCAGCCACTTGCCTGTCCTAGCTAATTGTGCTCCTTAAACGCCTGGAATGGGGGACAAAGGGAAGGGCAACGGGAGGCAGGCGGGTGGCTCGTGAAGGTCGAGGGCCAATACAAATACAGCTGGGACAAAAGCAGGGTTCGCTTACGTGTCGGCGACCAGCTATGAAATGAAATGGAAACTTTGCAGGTTTACTTTTCCAGTAAAAAGTGCTTGATTTAAATAATTAATTTTAGTGCCGCAAATGAGTCGGGAAATCTGGCTTGGGCCTGCATATGAAATCACGATGACAACGACACAAATTGCTAACATTTTGTTTGCAACAAGGGAAATTGCGCAATAATTAATTGAGCTCGTTATATTTATACCCTGAACACAATGATAATGGCCAAAAGAGGTATAATGGCTTAGCGCATATGGCAAAGACCAAGGCAGGCAGGCGGAAGGATAGCTCCTCTTCGGTCTCATAAAATATATTTGTTAAGTTAATTGTTGGGAACAGCAACCTTTATATTAATAAGATTTTCTATATTCTATACCCACACAACACAAAAAGTAGTCGACTCTTAGTTGATATAGGGATGCCTGTCCATGGTCGAACTCATCGGTTCAGAGTATAAAACGCAATCGACTGTGTAATGCTCGTTTACAGTTCAATAAAAGCTTGAACAATATCGATTACAGTGATCATAGGCTGTATCTATACAAATGTATCTATCTTAAGAGCTAATCTATATTTATCGATCTGATAAGACAATCGATTTCTCATGATTTGATGCGTTTACAGTGGTCGTAGGCAAATTCTTTATTTATCGATTTAAAGAGCTAATCGATATTTCACGATTTGCCATGTTCACAGTCGTAGCAGGCAAAATCAACATTTATCGATCTCACGAGCTAATCGATTTTTGCGTTTTCCATGTCCACAGTTGTCGTAGACAAAATCAATATTTATCGATCTCAAGAGCTACTCGATTTTTTACGATTTGCTACGTTCACAATATTTGTAGGCAAAGCCTATGTTTATCGATCTCAAGAGCTAATCGATCTTAGGTGCTTATCGATAGTTTTCATTCAAATTTGGCCAAGCTACCTCTAAATCTGTCAAAAACAATGATGCCACGCCCCCATTTATAGCCAACGGGTATAAAAAGCTAACCATAGCAAAGCATGTCTTTCACGCGCCAATTTATTTCATATCCGATTTCTTACAACTCCCACACCTCATTTATCCGGGCAAATATTTGTCCATGAGTAAATATGCATAGATATGTGTTAACTGAATGGGAAACGAGTAAATTTGCAGCTGAACAGGGGGAGCATGTGAATTCAATTCATGCATTCAGTCTACGTTTTCCGGCAATCAGCAATCGGCAATCCCCAATCATTGTCATCTAAAATGAATGCCTCGCTCAGCTGTGAAAGCGCATGGAAAACGCTTCAGCGTCTTTGGGTGGCCGAGTGTCATGGCAGAAGTCAAATGTATGGCACGTTTGGAGACATTTCCACACCAATTTACACTCACTGCAAATTACAGTCCAAAAGACAAAAAGACACATAGAGAGGGGTAAGCTGGCTGTGACACGGCCAAACACATTACTCATACGCCGCGTGTGGCGTGTGGCGGGGCGCATTTCGATGGCGATTCTACTTAGAGGCGAGTGCTGGGCTACGCTAATTTCCAAGTTGCGTGCAGCCAGTTTTTTCGTAGAATTCGCAAGAAACTACCGACAAAAAATTAACTGCAAATTACGCCATCCTGCGGTATAATAATATACGCATTTACGTTTGCATTAATGCCCCAAATGTGGCACCGAGTTCGGAATTTAACCATTTACGTTTGCATTAATGCCCCAAATGCTACGAGAATTAGCCCCAAGGGAGCCAACTTTTAGGCACACACACCGTAAAGAATTAGGCGCTACGTACCTTAGTTTGCAAGAAATGCTACTGCTGCGGCTGCTCCTGCTGCTGTCTAGAGGCGACCTGATGTCCACGTTCTCACTGCTCCATGAGCACCTAGAGCACCTAGAGCATCTACAGACTGCTGACGTGGGAGGAGGAGAAGATGAAGGCAATCGCTCGTGGCAGTCGCTCCTTTACGGCTCTTGTTATATCACACACGGCGCGAGGACTAAACGGACGCCAGCGTCAGAGACTGTGACTCCAGCGCCCGAGAGCTGCAACCGCGTTGACCGAAGCGTAAAATTTTGTTTGAATACAAATTTTTTTTTTTTTTTTTGTTTTAAGATTAATTTTGTTGCCACTTTTCGAATTTTTCCATATGAAATGCCGTTAGACTGGCAAATAGCTGACAGTTAATATGTTTTGGGCTGTTTAATTATATCTCATGCTGCGTTTTGCAGCTGGAAAAACGGTGTGTATCGAAAGGGAGCGAGCGGGCGGGCGGGTGGAAAAACCAACGAAGTAGCAACAACAAAATAACAAAGTCTAACCGCAACAACGGCGCGAGAATAAAACCAAAAAAGAGCTGAGGCCCCGAATAAACGAAGCGGCAATACGCCTCAAACGCTGGTCACAGACTGAGACCGAAACTGAGACAAAATCTTAGCCCAACCAGAGCTGGACTCTGGCTGAAAACTGAGTGAAAATGCCAGCCGAGAGCCATGAATGAAGCACCAGATTCTGGGCATGCGCACTGCCCATCCACAACAGAAGCGCGCCAATTGAAATGACTCAACTCGGCTGCGACTCATCTCGGCAACGACTCAACTCAAACTCTTGCGTGGTTATATAATCACGGTATTTGGACTAGGCGCACAGTGAGGTAAGAGAGCCGTCACACCTGGCTGGCAAACGGGCGTTGAAGGCAATCGGCCGGACAATTGAGCCGTCGCTCAACGGACGGGCAGCCGTGATCCACAGTTGCAGTTGTCGACTCATCGCGTGCGGTTCCCGTTTTGGTATTTGTTTTGGAAGACTCGGTGCCCCAAAAAAGGAGCCTGAGGCTATTGCCAGATATGTACATATGTACACATACTCAGTGCTGATGATAATGTCAATGCTTTTGGGCTTGGCCACAGTTTCTTTTTGTTTTCTTATTGTAAGCACATAATAATATATCTCTATATATAAAACTGTTTATCCTTACTGAATTACTGACTGACGGACGCACAAATTTTCACTTTATGTGATGGAGGTGCACGCTAAGACGGCGCCTTAGGAAATTCCACCCGCACATGTGGAAAATTGGTGGAAAATTCATCTGACACGTATTTCGCAATATCCACCGCTCTTGAATGCAAAATGCGGCTTAAATGTTTTATAAATTAAAGCTTATTTTGAGGTTCAAGATTCTCAGCACTAGACTAACATGGACCTAAACAGTTAATTCCAAAAAATTTAGTACTTAATTCGGTGGATTTTAAACTTATATTCAGATATGTCTGATTACAAATTTTAATTTCATGCTAAGGGTGAGATCCCTTTGTACGTATTTTTGGGTGAATTCACATATGTATGTATGTGTGTATGTATGTCTGTATCAATGTACATATGTATGTATGTGTGTAGGTATGTATGTATGTATGTGTATATATATATACATTTGTATGTATGTACGTTTGTATGTATGTATATAAGTATGTATGTGTAGGTATGTATGCATGTATAAGTGTGTATGTATTTGTGTATGCATATGTGTATGCATGTGTGTATATATTTATGAATATATGTATGTATGTATGCAGGTATTTATATAGGAGTGTATGTATGTATGTATGTATGTATGAGTGTATGTACTTTTGAGTGTATGTATATGTATGTTTATGTGCATATTCATGCATGTGTGTAGGTATGTATGTGTGCATATACATTTGTATACCTGCCTGTATGCTTGTTTGTGCGGACGTATGTTTTATGTTTTGTGTATGTATGCACGTGCATATGCATATATATGTATGTATATATGCGTGAATAGGTTTATGTATGAAAGAATGTTTGTTTGTATGTATTATGTATGCATGCGTATGCGTACATGTTTGTATGTTTGAATGTATATTTGGTTGTATATATGCATGTGTATATACACATATATGTATGAATTATGTATATATTATGTATACATACGTATGCACATATTTTGTATGTTTATATGCAAGCCCAAGTTTACCTCTAGCTACGCTGCATATTCAAAAAACCGTTTATTTCCTAATGCCCTACTACTCGATTCTCATGAATTCAAGTAAGTAAGTCTCGTGGGCTCCACTTAAAGTGAAGGAGGAAGCGGCTTCAATAAGGAGGAGACGGCGGCTTTTGCAATATAGGAGGCGGCTTCAACTCTGGAGGAGACGGCGGCTTTAATATTGGAGATGGCTGCTGCTTAAACAATGGAGGAGATGGCGGCTTCAAACCAGAGGATGCCACAAGTTCAGCCATGGAGGAAAAAGCAGCAAGACGGTGTCTTTGACGGAGGAGGCGGTCATTGGAAAATTCGGTACGTGTTATATTTAAGTTTTGCTAAGTCTTTTTAATAGTATTATTATTTTATTTAATGCATTGTTAAGCTAATAAACTTTTTCAGTTCTTTCAGTAATGTGTTTATATACAAGTTCGTCTTATGTCTATTGATAGCTGACTATAAAATATTCATCCGTGTGAATTTACAGGTAAGTACGTAATTCTAAACATATTATTATCTCTGTGTTGGTAAGTTCCACCCACAAGTATGAAAACGGTTGCAACTTTTTTGTTTATCATGCGATCGGCTTCATAATCAATTTTAAAGATCTTTGTGAAAATTCATCTGGTACAAGTTTCACACATTTCGTAAAATCCACCTCTCTTGGATAAAAACAACGCAAAGGTTTAATGAAAGGTTTAATGAAAGTTTGTTTTCCTTCCCTCAACTTTTGGTTATTTTTTATTGAATTTAAACCTTGTTTTTTGTTGGTTATCTATAAAAATATATAAAATTAGATGTGGAGTTAAAGATAGTAAGGGTAAATTTAAATTGTCTATGGGCGGAAAATGGGTGAAAATGTTAAATCTTTAATATGAAGCACAAAACTTGCCACGGGCAAGGGCGGGAAACACCCGCTAAAACTTTATAAGCATATAAGTGCATGTACATATATAATAAATACATACACATATCGTTCTAGGTAAACGTATGTACACTCACACATACAAATATATTTGGATGTGTGCAAAATTTAAATATGAAATATTTTAGTTTTATATGCTCAGCTGCCTCTGTTGTGAATCTCGGCGTTGTTGCTGTTGCCCACGCCTGAAATGATTTGGAAAATAAATCGAACACAAATAGCGGCAACGCGGCATGGCAAGGCACCGTTTTGTGTGGGCAGCTAGTGACCAGGCGGTACATATGTATATACGTACATATGTATGTATGTACTATTCATATATCTTATACAAGTCTAAGAAATATGCCTTTGCTTGAAGGCGACAATCTCTGACGCATCATTGTGGCCAAGTCAAGCAGTAAACAGCTGGTAAAAACTCATTTTATTGTCAATTATTGTGGGTTTTCCCGGTATTGGCTTGGGCTTGGGAAATGGCTTACATACATACATACATTATTTACTATCGATAAGCGTGCGGATCGATTGATCGATTATTGGGTCTAATTTCTCTTCCGTGTAGGTGTGCACCCATTTGTGACGCATTTAAAGCATAGCGTCAATGCTGGCTTAAAGATGCACATGTATGTACACACTCACATATTGAATGACTATACATACATATACATACATACATACATATATACAATGCTATTTCGTACGCTTTGAGCTGGTTCAGAAGCCATGCGACTGTCGCTGCTACTCAATATCAGCCTGCGGAATTTGCTCTCTCGTGTTTGGATACTCAGCTGATGTATATTGTTGTAGTAGCTATTGCCGCCACTGGCTATTAATAAATCTGATGTGTGTGAATCTCAACGCTCAGATGGCTACCGATCGGCCCAGAGAGCCAGCAGCTACTTCCATAGGCAGAGATTGAGAAATAGAAAATGATAGTCGATGAGAAAAAAAATGCCGTTTGCAATGTGTTGGCACATTGTAAAAACACTTACCAATTTAGGACTTAACTGTTATCCGTTAAAGCGTCGCAAGCAAAGTTAACAAGCCGCGTGCTAGCTCAACTTAACAACTGAGAATGGAGATGGAGAGAGAGAGCATTACTAAAAAGAGAGCGAGAGAGAGAAAGAGAGAGACTGCGTCGTCGCCAAACGTAACATCAAGGCAGCCCCAAAACGAACGAACGAAAAAGGTTGCGCTCAGTCGACGAGCAACTTTGGCAGCGAGCAGTGGGCAACGACGTGAACTAATAGACTAACGGACAACTATACTACGTGGTCGTGCGTGTGTGTGCGTTCAGCAGCAATGTGCAAAAATATTTTTATCTATAGGTGTTGTATATTTAAATTGAATATATAAATACAAAGCATCACACCGCGCACACATAACAGAAAGAGAGATCGAAACAGAGAAAGAGAGACCTTAAAGCGGCCAACGGAAGTACGTAAAAGCAAAAAGTATCGAGAGTGCATTCGTGTGCGTGTGCTGAACAGCTGCCGTGGCTGTTAGAAAGTGTAGCCAAAGAGTGACATCACGTCAACCGAGACAGGAAAGGCGGGTAAGACGCAGAGGATACCGAGCAATTAGCAATCGATTACGCTGTTGTGGAAAAGTCGCATCTAATCCCAGCGGCAAGTGGAGAAACCACAGTACATATAGTACTTATTAAATCGTATCGTATCGGATAGGGGCGGACGAAACGAAACGCGACGAGACGACTGCCGGCAGCGGAACGTACGAGAATTAACGGACAAACACATTGTCGCTCTCAAGGTGAACCTGCCTGCCGAACATAGCAGCAACAACAGCGCCAGCAGCAGCAGCAGTAGCAGCACAACTCAAAGCAAAGCAATTTATTTCGAAATTAGTCGCAGCGCTTCGAGACGCGTCGAGCAACGGAAACAGAAAGTGACAGGACTCGCTTACGGCATCCAATATGAAGCCAACTGTGATAGCAGCAAGCCAGACCGGCGCAGGTGGCGGCGGTGGTAACGGCAACGGCACGCCTGCAGGAGCCGGCATCAACATACCCATCAGTCGCGAGTATGTCGGCAGCGGTGCCTCGCCCCAGCAGCATCCTCAGCATTACGCACAGCAGCCGCCGCAGTTCTATGCCAGCCAGCCTTCGGCGTATGGATCGCCTCGCCAGCAGCAGCCGCAGCCGCAGGTTCCCACAAATCCGCAGCAGCAACATTTTCAGGTGAGTGACTGGCTAAAAATCGACGGCGCCAGCCTCAAGGTCGCCTCTCTGCTTGCTTATATGTACATTTTGTATGTAGACTTGTAGATTGGCGCCCGACAAGGTCGCTTTAAATTGTTTTTGGCGACAGATGCGTTTGGCGATGAACATTTAATTAGCTCGTTCTCTGAAAATGCACAAAAAACAACTTTTTTTTTACTGTGCATCAGAAACTTAAAAATTCGCCTCGCATTTTTGTTGTGTAAAGGCGAATTGGAGGATATACAAACATACATATATAGCATATGCATGTGTGCTCGTAAGTGTGACTCTCACATACTATGCACCCACTTTGCGTGCATTTCCATGCCCTACAGCAGCTTGAGAAGTGTGTCAAGTGTGTGTGTGTTGTTGTTGTGTGTGTGTGTGTGCTTACACTATTGACCCAATAGGCTCGCCCTACATATGTAAATCATAAATACATACACATGTGCTATCTATTTACATATGTATGTACAGTTTTGGCTGTCAACGCTGCGTATGATTAACGTAGCGCCGCTTGCGGAAATTTACCATGGAACAGCATCAACTTAACAACAGGAGTATTCCAAGTATAACCACAGCTGATTGGCTATCTAATCTAATTGCTGGCCACACAAAAGTATCAAGTGTTTTTTATGAACGAGACGAATCGACGCTCGGTTTGATTTGTGCTCGTTGAATATATTTAACAATTTCTAGAAAATGCGTGATGATAGACAAACCCAAATGTTCTACCGACCAAATTTTCGGAGAGAGTAAGACACACAGATTGAGAGCGAGAGAGAGAGAGAGCTTGTTAAAAGAACTGGCAAAAGCAAACATTTGGTTTACTTCTTGGCTCGCTTTTTGCTCTCAGCAAACGCTAAATATTTTCGACTCAATCGCAACTGTAGCTGTAGGTGCACTTACTTACTTATACATTTACAGACAAGTGTTCACACACTCATAGGTGTATATATATAAATGTATGAACGTATACATGTGGGTGGGCAAATGGCAGTCTATATGTACGAATGTATTTACGTATATACAATATAAATATGTATTTACATACAGACGTACAAACGCGTGTAGGCGGCGACAGCTCACGAAATAACAGCATATATTGCTTAACTTGTTGGCCAAGTCAAAAAGGCCGAGATGTTCTGTGGTCAGTCGTCGCAAGTTTCTGATCGGATAGTGGCTTGATTTGTTTACAACACTTGCAAATCTACCTTATATGTACATATACACATGCTTTTACATGTATCCACATTCATTTGTATACAGAAATATGAACTTAAGTCCACCCGAGAGGGTATTATTATTCAATGTTGTTGATCCGACTAAGTTTATATACAATTGGCTAACTGGAATAATATATATATATATATATATATATTTGTATGTACATACATATTTTATATACAAACAATGGCATGAAAATCGAGTTTTTCTATGGAACGACATGTATGATATCTCCCATTAAAATAAACATATATGTAAATAAAGATATTCTTAATTAGCTGTGTCGATATACCCAATTTCTTATGAGTCAGAATCTGATTTTCTCTGTATATTTATGTATAATGTATATTTATATGAATGAAGAAGAAATCTGAAAATGTCGGACAGAAGTGTTTGTTTATCTTTGTAAATGTATCTTTAGCAATGTCTAGCAATTCACGAGCTTCAGTTAACTGATAACAAATTCAACATCAGCCTTAGGTTTCACTGTTAGATCGAACATATACAGTAGTTCTTCCCTGTTTTACTCTTTTAACCTGACAAAATATATTTAAGAATCTATTTACTAATGTTTTACAAATTAGTCGAACATTTTTTATTGTTGTTCATACAGTGCGAAATTCAAACTTGATTCCGGGAACGCTTCTTCATTTTGAAATCCAAATAAGATCGATTAATACAAATAAGAGTTCGTATAGCCCCATATTCAAGTGTTTGTCGATACATGTACATGTACAGAAGCCACAATTTTTAAGCATTGAAATTCTCATAGAAATCACTTTACAATTATTAATTATTCAGTAATATCAATATGAAATACTGAAGGTATATCAAGAAAACATATTAACATAACAGAGTATTCGAAAGTAAGAGAAATAACAATAATAACAATAATGAGTCGTCCACATTAAGAACATTCTCAAATAAGTTTCTATTATTCCTATATTTCATTGATGTGTATGTACACATTCTCATCATTACCATTTCACGCCTATCACGAGATCGGGCATTTACATAATCATTCATTTACTCTTTAAGGAAGGAAATGGATAAACGCATGCATGCATGTTTACTTTTGGCTTTGGGATCTTCATTTAACGTTTTCAAAATATTTAACGAAAATTACTTAACCACTTAGTGCTGGCTATTATTTTTGCAACTGTACATATAAAGGATACGCACCTTGTCATTTTGCCATCAAGGATTCCGTATTAAATCAGTCAGTCTCCGTATATTACGTACATTGCGCATACGTATGTGTACAAAATACACATACATATATCCATATTACATATGGACATACCCATACATATGTACATATGTAAAGGAGAGCATTTCGTGCGTGAGAGCGCTGTCGAACCCTGCTGAAGTTGCCAGAAGCATCTAGCAACAACTTCGTCGTGGTGGGCGTCCAAGGCAAATTGTCTGCTTGATTCTATAAAAGGCTGTCACCAGCTGCCCGGTTTTCGCATTCACAAGACAACAGTTCAACGGAGAGCACGTCACGTCGCGAAAAACGAAAAGGCGAATAGAAAACGTAGCAAAGTGTAAAAGTAAATTGTGAAAAAGCTGTTTACTGATAAACCAAACAATCGACTTAAAATAGGTAATGAATAGCAGGCACACACATGCATAAATTCATATTGTCAATTGAATATTGTAGCTTGTAAAAGTGCTTTTTTTTTCTTCTGGCAAACAGCTGTTCGTTGAAACAGCGCACATACACACATACACATTTAATATGTGTATATATTGTATGTGTATATGTAGTGTGTACATAAAGTGTTAGTTAACGCAATAATTGACGTTTATTTACACGTTGACGTCACTTGTTTTTACTCAAGCTGCAAGTTCTTATTGTTTGTCATACACTCACACACACCCACACATGGATTTGTTCGACTTTGACTGCGATTGGAGTGAATCATCCGCTTATTTATAAACAATTCGCCCGTGCGGGCATTTGTCGTGTTCATTCGGCCTTTGCTAGTCACTGAAGACTGAAGACAAAACTTATCAATTGCTTTAAATATTTGCAGCAGGGCTTTGGATTCGAACCGGATATGGACATGGATATGGATAATATGTTCCCACGATCTCGGCTGGGACGCCTGCATAACGATCCTTTCGCCGGCTTCGGCGGCACACGTAAGCGGAATAGTTTGCACGATCCCAATACCCATAACTACCCTCAGGCACACTCAATGCATGCTGATGATGACTTTTCTCATTATTTCGACGATGCTGCAGACTTTGGATTTCCACAATTCTCTACACTTGGACGACGCGGCCGCGTAGCCGGCGGCGCTAACAGCCACATGGAGCCCGATGATGATTTCTTTAACAGACTGCCATCGGACTTCCGTCAGTACATACCAGAAAGCTTTAGCGGCCGTCGATCAGCTGGTGCTGGCGCTCCACAGCCCCGTCCTCAGCAGCAGTACTACCAGCAAGATTATAGCGTGCCACAGCAGCCCGGAGGAGCGCAGGCACATCAAGCTCCGCAGTCGCCCTCGAAGCGCCTGTGCGACGCGGCCATCCAAACGGATGACCCCGCCGGCCGCTCGGAGGTCGATTGCGCGCCACCTGTCAATCTAAACCAGCATGGGCTGCGCAACACTATGGATATGGGCATTAAGAGCGTCACCGAACAGGAACAAGGGCCGCGCTCGCATTCTGCGCCACCGCCAGAGCAGCAACAGCTGAATCAACAATACCAACAATCACAACAAACAAATCAACAGCGGCCGACGCCGCCGCCACAATTTGGCACGCAGACTAGTCCACCAGTACAGCCTAATTTCGGAACGGGTCAGCCGCAGCCGCCGCAATTCCATAAGACTTATTATCCGCCACAGCAGCAGGCGCATCCACAGCAAAAGCAGCAAACGCCGCCACCCCCGCAGACTCCCGGCGGTAGCAATGTGCGCACCATACCCATCTTTGTAGAGGGTCGCACCGAGCCCATTATCAATGCGCATAAGGAGATACCAAATCAGAGTGCTGCTGCAGGCCAGGCCCAGGCACAGGCACAAGCTTCGGCCCAAGCATACTATGCGCCACAGCCGCAGCATCAACAGCAGCGTCCTGCTCCACTTAATACTCAACAGCCCCAAGGCGATCCTCAGTTGCAGACGGACGCTGGTGTCGGTGTGCCGCCACAGACTCCACATACGGTAGACTCAATCAAGAAGATTCAGGATATACAACGCGACGTTCTTGATCTGATGGCCAAAGTGGAGCAGTTCAAGGGCACGCGCAAAGACAAGGAATATGCGTACCTGGATGAGATGCTTACACGAAATCTTCTCAAGCTAGACACGATCGACACAAACGGCAAGGATAGCATTCGGCTAGCCCGCAAGGAAGCCATCAAGTAAGATCATCGAGTGTTCTTTTCATAATGTAGCCCGACCCTTAACTGGTTTAAACCCATTTTTTAGGTGCATACAGGCATCAGTCAACGTGCTTGACGCCAAGGCCGAGGAGAATGCCAGAAGAGCATCTGGAACAGTAGAGAACGCGGCAGCCAGTACAGAAACTGCAGAGCCGACCCTCGCCGAACAGGCTGAACCTGAAGCTGTCGCTGAGCCCGCTACGCCACAGCCGTTGGATGCCACCAAGATCCAAGAGCCTATACCTCTGCCACCACCACCGAGTGCCGCAGAGGGTGGTGAGAATGCGCCAGACTTGCAAGCTGCGATCGACAATTCACAGTCTGCCACGGAGACGGCAAAATCCGAGACCACAACGCTGACACAGTCGTCTGAATGATGATCGCAGTATATTTACAGGACGACCGTTTCGAAGCAGCTACACAAATTAACCAAAATCAAGTAATCGGAGGATCTAATCTATTGTTTCAAATTTATCGGAGGAAAGCGACAAATTATTAATTAAAGCATTGTTTGTGAGCATCTGATTAGGTGCTGGTGAAGTTGCATCGAACTCTTTGCTAGTATTTGTTAAATATACACATATTGCAACATATACATGCGTACGTAAACTAGGCTAAGTTAATAATGATATAAATGACAGTGCCTACATATTATTGAATTGAAAATGGATATTATAGTGAAGAACGTTACAATTATTGAAATAGCTGATAATTCAGTTTTATATCGAGAGTTGATGAATTTGTAAAGGATCACCAGACAAGCAAGAGTATGATCTCATACACAACTGCACACATGGTAATGCACTGGTTGGCAATCTGCCGAAGATAGGTAGCTCGAGTCTTGCTAATTGTTAAACAAACAGGAAATATTCTAATGCAATAATTTTTGTGCTACTAATTATTAAAATAAATGTAGATATTGTTCACACTATAATACACATACATACAAAACATATATTGGCTACATATAATAATACAAATCGTGTGCATTAAGAAACATTTTAAAAAGGACGCAACATTGTTTCGAAATCTAAAAGTTAACAATCAGATATAAAATGTATACACAAATGGAAGGCACCTGTGAGAACATGGTGCGCGTGATGTACGATCTAAACCGTGTTATAGTCGCTTATAGGCAATATTAAATCTCATTAGGTATAGTATAAATTGCATTATTGTTCAAGATATTACTGGGCAGCCGTGTTTTAAATGTGAGTAATTCGGATATATGCTCCATTAACTACAGCTATGGCTGTTAAGGTGTATACACCTGCAAAAATTTATGTAGCTGCTCTGCAGTTGCCATATTAGATACGGATTTGCATTGTATTGTTACTGCTAAGTGGTTTTAGTTGATGATTTCGACATAGTTTGCCGGAAACAGTCCATAGGTTCCATCAGGGCCCAATCCCTGCCACCAGCCCTCGTCAATTTGATCGATATGCGTTATAACATCGCCGGGATCAAACGTTATTTCTGATTCATCAGCTGCCTGATAGTCATATAAGGCACGGGCACGTAGACCCAAGTCGCCAAGGCTCTCCTGGCATATGAAGTCATCCTCATTGACCAGATCGGTCACTGATAGTGAGCAGATATAAAGAAATAAATAGATTAATGTCAGCGTATAATGCTTATTTCAACAACTTACATGCATTACGTTCCAGTGTACTTAGACCGGATGTCTTGACCGATTGAGACTGCTGCACTGTGACTGATACTTTGGTGCGCACCTCTTCCTCCTTGTATACAGCCGTGTCGGTCTCATTTGTCGATGTCGTCTCATCCGGTGACTGTGATTGAACCGAGTTTGTTTTACTGTGCGGCGATCGTTTGATGGTGGAGAACTGCTCACTCTCATGAGCCAGTGGTAGGTCCTCAGTTTGCTGCAGGTCCTCCTCGTTTATAGTTTCAACGGAATTCACCTCGGCCACAACTGGCGCCTTGTCGGCCTCTGAAGCTTCGATGGCCACTGGAGGATTAATAGGTGAAACAGACTGTGGAGACAAGGTGACCTCTGTATCCTGGTTCTGATTGTGATTGAATACGTTTATACGCTGTGCAATAGAATTTCTGGCGGGCTTCGCCGGCGGTTGCGTATTGAGCCTAAAACTTCATACAATAAATAACAAGAATGCAGATCGTGTCCACGAGCTTACTTGGATTGCAACTGGCCCTCGCTGGTGTGCTTGGTGAACATTGCCTTGGCAGCACCCACACGTGAGCCGATCAACTCACGTGCCTCCTGATTCCGCGCCTGGCGCATACGGTCCGCGTCGGTTAGGTTATTCCCAAAAGTTGCAGCTGTTTTTTCAGGACTCAATGGTTGCGGCGAGCTGTAAATTCAGTAAGCAGTTAAGTGACAAGCGCTCAACAGAATCTCAATAACCTGAGCGTATATTTACGTTTTAATGGGTACATGCGCTGGCTGTAGTTTTGTCGTGCTTATGACCAGCTTTTCGCGCTCCTTATGCTCCTTTTCTTCGCGTGCGCGCTGCTCCTGCTCGAGCTTCAGAAGCTCTAAGCGTTTGGCTTCCTTTTCAGACCCAATGCGATGCTTCTCCTCTGCCTCCTCCTTTTTCCAGAAGTCCTGCATTACACTCGCGTTGAGCTCCTTTGTGGGAATAACCCGGGTATAGTTTGTGCCAACTGGCGCCTTTTGCTCTTCCATGGCTCCACGCGGCTCCTTAAAACTGTATGCTGAGCTAACCGTACTCAACTTCTTTAGCAAACGCTCGATATCGATGTCATCCTCATTACGTGCATTGATTGTCAAATGAGCACCGGAGAGAAGTTTGCCCACGTCATGAATATGGTTCGCGCAGGTGCCCTTGCGTAGCACAGGTGCGCCTTCGCCCTTCAAAGTGGAACGGTGAATAGTTAGATAAGATAACAAGAAAAAACAGCACACTGACTCACCTGCCAGTTGACGAGCAGGTACTTATTGAGGCCAGTCTTTGGGTCTTCGATTTGCAAAAATGCGTACATTATTTTGCCGCTATTAAGGTCCTCGCTTAGCTCGTCTACGCCGCCGTCTCCTTTTCCGACCAGCTTCAGTTCGTTCGTCTGGCCTTCATAACCAAATAGCGCCCAGTTGGTGCTGCTCTTGGCGTCCAGCACATCCTTCCAGGCACCCACAATTTGCGCCCGATGTTTCTCAAAACTAATTGCCATTTTCTCCTTGCGTGCTCGCGATTGAATGTGTGTAAATCTCCGTTCACCCGTCGGCAACTAATGCCAACGACCTTGAACAAAGCCGCAAAATGCGATAAATCGAAGTTTCAAAAGTCTTGGTAAGCTTTCACTCGTGCACCTTTTTTGGTGCTGTCACCGCCAATTTTATGAAAGCCAACGCCCCAAATATGCAATTTTCTCACTTGAATGGAGTTTTAATTAAATGCACATCGAATGCATCAGAGACACACACAAACACATTTACGGAGGTTTTGTTGATATAATATCGATAATAACGATTTTTTGAATTTTCGATTAAGAATTGTCGATTTATGCCGTTGGCTTTTCCGTCAAATCTATGGAAAATGTATTAAGACATGAAAAGTGGATGAAAACAGCATACATACATTATGATTTAATATTGAGTTAAACAGAATGATTGGTAAGAAATACTGGTACATATCAAATTACAAACTTTCTTGAGCAGTCAAATGTCTTATTTCAAATGGGTAAAATACATTTTAACCCCGATCCAGTTAAAAATTCCATTATGGCAAAATAAAAAAATACTAGAAAAGATTTACTCAAAGATGATCTGTGTTCGGTGTTCACGTTGGCACTAAAAATGCCCGCAGTAGTTGCAGCCGACTAAGTCGTTAGCCATATGGCCAATGGCCATAATCGCAACTAGGGTTGTCTAATATCTATAAATATTTTTTCGATATTAAATTTATTTACCAAAAATATCTTTGTTACGATATCCTTGATATGTTTTACAGAAATTTACATACATTTGATTCCTGACAGCAATTTTTCTTAGATGTCGTTTATCAGCTATTTACAACTGTTCACACTAATATATTTAATCTTTGAGGATTTAATATGTAGATTTGATTTCGTTTTGCTTACTTGTGTGACCGTTCTCTGTGCAGAAAATAACTCGGCTACTCTTGGTTTTGCTTGCATTCCATTGTGATGCCAATAAGGGAAACGTTGTAAGTTTTCTTTTTTTCAAGTTTAACTAATTAAATAATATTTGTAATCAACTAAAAATGTTAAAATTGCATATAAAATATTATATATTTTGCGAGCAAACTATGTTTATTAAGTGGGTATGATAACCTTAGGCACACCTAAGGCATTTTTTGCTTTCGCGCCAATATTTTTTTTTGGCGCCGATTGTCAACCAGTTCTGTTTGGGAAGACTGCCGGCTGTTGACTGATTTTGTTTTCAGGTAATCTAAACTAAATCTATCAGTTTCAGTTTTCTTATTTCTCAATTTTTTAAGTAGTGCTGCCACTTAACCATGGCAACAAACAATTTTAACAATCTATGTCCGTCCGTGGTTCGTCCGTCTGTCCGTGAATATGAACGCGTTGAACGGAGGTGCCTCCTGCCGGCTACACACAGTTGGACAAAATAGGTGTAGGGTATAAATTTGAACGATTAGTATCTTTCGGCATAGTCTCTTACATCCAACCATCTCTCAATTTGAGCTCTATTGTTGTATGCAAAACTTTGAGAATCGCTTTTATGTCAGGACGGATGTTTAGTTAAAATTAAGTTTATTTTCATCATATAATTTTCTCTTTCCCTATTACAAATACATTTAATTTTTACCCATTAGAGATTCATTCCCACTTTAGCATTTAAAAAGATCAGGGGTAGAATGCGTTCCAAAATGAGATTAAAACGAATCGCATGAAAGGCAGCAAGATTTTTAAATCACGCATCCTTTTCGGATGACGTTTGCTTGCTCTTACTATCGTCTGAATCTTGGTGGCGGCTCTCATAAATGTACTTGAACTCATAGTTCTCGTCGATTCCCACAAAATAGGTTGGCAATATGCCACGCCCCTTGACGAAAGTCATGCCGCGGTAGTTACACTCTAGGCCATATTTGCGCAACATTTCGGCAGTCTCTTCGGTCACTTGGATTTGCCCAGCGAGACCGGTGGAGTCCATACGTGAGGCCATGTTTACCGCGTTTCCCCAAATATCGTAGTGCACCTGTGAGGCACCCACAACGCCGGCCATCACCTCGCCGCTTGATATTCCAATGCTCATATCAGCACTGAATACATCACGATCCACTGGTAAATTCTTATAATCATTGTTGCAAGTCCACAGGGTTCGCATCAAGTCCAACGCAAAGGTGGTTAGCACGAAGACCACTTCCTCCTTTTTCTCGCTCGACGCGAATTTATCCTTGCGGAAGACCGAAATTGAGCGACGTGCACGCAGGACTGCAATAGGACAGATATATATTAACAATGGACCTGTTAGCCCAATCGCTTACCCTCCTGGATAACAGATTCGTGTGTAGTCCTCTCTTGGCTTATGACTGAGGAGAACCGCAGATCTAAGCCACAGGCTGCCATATATGTACAGCCCACAATTTTGATCTTCTCCACTAGA